ATTTGGGTAGGCCATCAACCTCTTAAAGACCCTTTTCCCTCTCTTTACTCTCTTTCCCTTTATAAGAAAGAGTTGGTTTCCAGTTTTATTTCCTCCCCAGCATCTTCTTTGGCCTTAAACTGGGATTTTGGGTTCCAAAGAGGGTTACGTGATGATGAAAGTGCTAGTGTTTCAGAACTGTTGTCTTCACTTGAGTCTATTTGCTTAGATCCCCTCAAACCTGACACAAGAATTTGGACCCCTAACCCGAAATGCTTTTTCACTTGCTCTTCTTTCTTCAAGTCCCTCTACTCCAATTCTGCACCCCAGAACTTCCTAGTTAAAGAATTCTGGGTTAGACCCATTCCCCCAAAGTTTGCTGTTTTTTGTTGGAAAGTTTTTTATGGTAACTGGTAAGGTTAATACCTTGGAAAACTTGCAAAAGAGGAGACCAAAATGGTGCTTATCCCCTAATTGGTGTGTTCTTTGTAAAACTCAGAATGAGGACTATCACCATTTACCGATCTCTTGCTCCTTTACTGCAACTTTATGGAATTGGATTTTTATGTTGTTTGAGTGTAGGTGGAACCTGCCATCTGATACTAGCTTGCTGTTTAGTCCGTCTACCTTTGTATGACATACAAAGAGAGGGAGAGTTATGTGGAAGTATACAAGAGCAGCTTTGTTGTGGACTGTTTAGGAAGAAAGGAACACCAGAATTTTTCGTGAAAAAGAAAAGGAGTTTCTCAGAAGTTAAAGAATGTATTTTGACAAGGGCAATTCAGTGGCTAAAAACTCTAAATTTCTTTGATGCATACTCTTTTGATGACCTATGTAGAAACTGGTTAGCAATGGCTAACACTTTTACCAAGGACAGATATATGGTTGAATGGATGCCACCTGGGGAGTAGTTTATTAAGCTGAACTTTGATGGGAGTAGCCAAGGTAACCCTGGACCTTCAGGTATAGGAGGAATGCTGAGAAACAAAGACAGTAGTATTATATCTTCGTATTCAGGTCCTGCGGGTGTGGGAGACTCTATAAGGGCCGAATTATTTACTGCTGTGCAAGGAATCCAGCTCGCAAACCAGCTAGGAATAGAGCATCTGATTATTGAAGGGGACTCTAGGTGATAGTGGGTTGGTTGTAGGATCCAGACTCTGTGATCTGGGGCTATAGAGATCTTCTCAAAAAGGTTAAATGGCTAACAAGGAATGACAATCAGAGTTTAGTGAGTAGGAAGATCAACAAATTCAATGGCTGATTCACTTGCAAAACAAGGGGTTTCTCGGGCTACTTTATTTTGGGCTTTTGTGTAATTTCTTTTGAACTTATAATTCTGTAACTAGTTTTAAAGGAAAGGTCGCACCTCGTGCCTTTCCATGGGTTCCCTGTAACTCTTATTTGCTGGTTTAATAAAATCTTATTCATGAAAGAAAAGCATTTTTTACATCCATCTAATGAATAACCCAACTTTTCACTGTTGAAATAGCAAGAAGATGAATTGTGGTCATCTTGGTATTTGGAGCAAATGTCTCCTCATAGTTAGTTCCATATCCCGCTTGAAACCTAGTGCAACCAATCTTGCCTTTATCTATCAGCACTACCATCAGACTTCAATCTAACTGAATATACCCACTGACTTCCAATGATTGAAACATTAGGAGGAGAAACTAACTCTCAAATATCATTCTCTAGGAGAGCATCTATTTCAGAATCCGTGGCATCTCTCCAATGAGTGTGAGCTATGGCTTGTTGGTAGGACTTGGGAATATCTCTAGTAGACCACATAGCAGAGAAGGAGCTATGGTATGAGGGAAAACCATAGTGGTTAGGTGGTTTGGAAACACTAGTAGAGCGATGTAAGTAAAGAAACACTAAAGTTCAAATATCTGATGTGGGGACACGTTACCAATAACTGATGATGGAAGAAGGTTGATGAGATGCACAACAATACTGGCCGTCTCCACTCAAAAAGGTTGTTGGAGCATGGGAATCCAGAAGAAGGGTTCTAACAGCACTCAAAATGTGGCCATTCTTGCATTCAACAACTTCATTTTGTTGAGTGCCAGGACAAGATCTCTGTGATTGTATTCCATGATGCTGCAAATAGGTAAGAAACTCCCCATCCATGTGCTTTCCCCTTGAATATGAAGCTAGGGTACAAATAATAGCATTAAAGTGTGTGGTAATTCTGGCATGAAGAGTTTTGAATACAGAAAAGGCATCTGATTTCTTATGCAAAAAATAGATCGAAGTATAACATGTATGATCATCAATAAAGGTAATAAAATATCTAAATCCTATTATGGAAATCACAGGAGACGACCAAACATCATTGTGCAATAACTAAAAAGGTGCAGTAGCATGTGTAGTAGGGAATTGTAAAACATGACTTTTTCTTAAGCAACAAGACATACAAGTTTTATCAACATTCTTAGATAAAGGCAAGCAATTAAATGAAATAAGTGAATCAAGTTTCTTTGCAAAAGAATGGTCTAAACGACGATGCCAAATGTTTCAGTCATTATTACAAGACCCAAGACAATAAACAAGAACTAGCAGAAGAGGCTAGCTTCTTAATAACCATCCCAGTCTATGCCCCTTCCCTTTCATCTCCCTAGTGCGCTGGCCTTATATCAAACAACCATCATGTGGGAAAGTGATAGTATGGCCATGCTCAACAAATTGACCAACAAATATTAAATTGGTAGTAAGCTTAGGAACAAATAATGTTTGAGGGAATGTGAAAGAGGTAGACAAAGATCATTACAATTCACAATATCAAGTTTCTCACCATTACCTATAACAATATGCATACTAGAAGGGAGGGGGTAAGAAGATTGACTACAAGTGGCCCCTGTCATATGATTGGAGGCGCCAAAATCTATGATCCAAAGATGAATAGGGGAAGCACAATACATTCACCAGACAAGCCAAAAGCAGAAAAGGCAAAGGAGGTGACATTCTTGGTTTGAGCACTGGAAGACGTTGCATGATCTGATCCTTCAATAGCAGTCTAATTTTGTGCTAATTTTTCTTTCCTCTATATTGGTTTTCCTTAGATGGCTTAGTAGGACATTCAGTAATAATATGCCCATGCTTCTTGTAGTAAGGACAGGTGTTTTTCTTTCTACAGTGGGATACAAGATGCCCGAATTCCTTACATTAATAATATTGCACTTTGAATATATCTTTCTTTGATTTGGATATATCTGTAGCTAAAAACACACTCTTCACTCCAATTCTAGCATTCATTGTTGACTGAGTGATCATCTTTGTTTCTTTCCTCAACTCACCAAGGTTAGTATCAAGGGTTGGAATAGTTTCTCTACACAAAATATTTGATCTGATTACTTCAAACTCAAATGGAGATGCATCAGAAAGTGTATCACTTTTCTCGTATCAAAGTGTTCCTTTAGAGCCTTGATACAATAGGCCGAAGATATCTCTCTAGTGTGAACAAATTCATACTTTGTCCAGAGTTTGACAAAGCCAGCATAGTATTTCTGAATCTTCCTTCACCCTGGTTGTATGAAAATATCGTTGTTTTAATATGGTACTGTCTTGAGATGTTGGACTGTTGATAAACCTTTTCCAAATAGTTACATCTCCTTGGCTGTCTTGAGACCCCTCATAGGGACAGCCACATCTGTAGTAACTGAATTGAGGATTCAGGATGTAAGCTGAGCATTATTAATCCTCCAGCTTTACAGCCCCTTTGCATTAGTTTCTTCAGGCTTGGTGGTGATTCCATCAATATACCCCCATAGACCCTTTCCCTCAACATAAAACTGGTAATGGAATTGCCACAGAGCATAGTCGGTGCCATCAAACTTAATGGGAAGCACATCACCTCTTTCGAAAGCCATTGAAAGCAAGATAGTGCAGAAAACAATTGCACGTAGGCTGGAAATAAGTGAAAGTCCTTTGACAGTCAGGGAAATTTCTCAGAGAAACTGAATAAGAGAAGGGAACAAAACCCTAGAAATACAGATCTGATCTTCACCATATTATAGAGGCAGATAGATCAGCCTAGGGCAACACAAGATCTAGAATCTTAGCCCAACTAGATCAGCCACTTGAGAGAAATCTGTGAAATACTGACCTGAATGACGTCTCAGTGCAGAAAATATACTATACCAGTGTTAGGCAAAAAGAGACCGAAACAATGCTCAACGGAAGAGAAAGTGTGCTGAGATCAATAGCAAGAGGATTGGACTTGCTCTGAAACCATGCCAGTGCAGTTTGAACAAGAGAAGATAAACAGATTTGAGGTGTGTCTAATGAGGTGACTACACCAAGAGAAAAATATTTATATTAATGAAAAGTAAATGGACAAATCTGTCCCTAAGACACAAGAATTATGATACAAAATAAAAGAATGAAAGAGTATGGTACAAGTAAAATTTCAACTTTAAACCTCACTCCCTTTCTCTACAAAAGAATACCTGCACCTACTACCAACAACAAGGATACATCAAACCGAGCGTCTGTAGTCTACCTAAGGGGAGGTACCTTGGGTTACAAGAAAGGTCAGCACAAAGCCTATTAGACAAGCATTGAAAATTCAGATGGTGGTATGGTTCCCTCTTCTTCATTTGTGCCTTCAACTAAGAGGGAACCTTTTGGTTTTCTTATTGAGAAGATGCAACAGTTAGCATCTACAACTATTTCCTGCTGTGCTTTCAGCCATTGGGCTGTCTGGTGAGTCTTCTCTTTATTGTTCTTCACCTAGTCACATTTGGATAATAGACTCCGGTGCCTCTAATCACAATAGGGGTACATTCTAGTTAGTATCTTAAACCTGTCTCTTTATAAACATAACATTACAGTTAATGGTGAAAAATTGGAAATCATTGGTTGTAGTGATTTGTCCCTACATACTTCAGTCTCTTCTTTGTTTCATCTCCCCCAAAACCCTTTTTGTTCCTAAACTTACTACAAATTTAATTTCTGTTGGACAACTTGTTGAGGATGGTAATATCATATCTTTTCCTCATGATGATTGTTTGATTCAGGACCAATGCACTAGGACAATGAAGGGAAGGGGAGTAGACTTGGACGGTTGTTTGCTCTTGAGTTTGAGAAGACACCAACTTCATCTGTTTCATCTTATTTACTTTCCAGCACTCAGTTCAAAATTTGTTTGTAGGAATAATGAGTGGCACTTATGGAAGATGCCTTGGCCACCCTTTTGCTAATAAACTAGAATTTTTATTTCATTCTGGTTGTTTGTCTACTAAAGCTACTTCTTTTACACGTGTGAATAAATCTTGCATTTCATGTGGTTTGAGTAAAAGCCATATCTTGCTTTTTTCTATTTCTGCTGCATGTTATGAAGTTCCCATTAAATTGGTTCGCAGTGATCTATGGTCATTTCCTATAACTTAATGTTTGGGTTATTCATATTTTGTGATTTATGTTGATTACTGTACTTTCTATACTTGGATGTATTTTCTTTGATATAAATCAGTTCCCTTCATATTCTAACTTTCTCTAGCCATGATACAGAACCAGTTTGATACAACCATTGGCATACTTTGTCCAGATTCAGGGGGGAGTACATTGATACAGACTTTCAAATCTTCTTAAGAGAACGGGGAATACAACCACAAAAATTTTGCCTAGGAACACCACAATAGAATGGGGTGGCTGAATGCAAAACAAACATATACTGAATGTTGAGAAAACCTTGTTGTAGGACTTCCATTCTCTTACTTTTTGGGTGGAGGTCACCCATACGACTATACATCTCATCAACTTGATACCCTCAGTTCTTGGTAACACCTCACCCTTTAGAGCTTGTTTCATCATCCACCAGATTTCTCATCCCTTCATGTGTTTGGTGTGTGCGCTTTGTTCATCTTTGCTCTCATGAATGGACTAAGCTCACCCACAGTCTGCCATGTGAATTCATGGGGTACAGTTCATGTAGTAAAGGGTTTCTTTTTGTGATCCTCAAGCTTGTTAAGTTAGGATTTCCAGAAATGTTGTGTTCCTTAAAAATATCTTTCTTTAGGCATATTGCAAAGCATCTCCTATCCAGCGGGAGGGGGGGTCCAAGAGGGTCTATAGGTCCTCTTACAAAGAGCAGTGGTGGCTACCTCTTTCCACTTTCTCAACAAGTCAGCCATAGAAAATTCAGAGAATATCTCCATAGATTTCAGCCAGTGAGCTACCCTTAAACACAGCGTTTTACTTGTTCTCTCTTTCAGAAGATGTCTCTGATCGATTATTAAATGGCACTTCTTTTCAATACATTTAATTCCCCAAAGAAACTCCCTTTGCATCTTCTTAATTGAATTTGCCACAGATGACAGAACTTTAAGCAAAGACAAGTAATACATTGGCAAGTTAGACAAAACACTTTTTATTGATGTTATTCCCCCCACCCAATAACAAGTACTTCTCTTTTCACCCTTCTAATCTCTGATCGATTCTATCCATCACCAGCTGCCATGTCAATGAAACTAATGCCTTTGCACCTATTGGAAGCCCCAAGTATGTGAATGAAAATTCCCCTACCAAACATCCCAAAGGTGCTGCACACTTCTATAAACAAGTTTGAGAGATGTTATCCACTCCATTTATCACTCTTATTTATACTGATTTTGTGCCCAACTAAAAACTCAAAAAGCATTTTAGTGTAGCCCTCAATTTTAGCACTTGAACCACTGAAGCATCCACAAAAATAAGTGTATCATCTACAAATTGAAGATGCATAATGGAGGCTCCTTCCCTGCCCACTGGAATACATAGCCTATTGCCCATGAATAAGTAATTATCATTCCACAGTCCACACAAACTTCGTTTGGTTATCCTTGTCTTACAACATCAGTAGATATAGTGGGCACTAAATGGACTCTCCTACTAAGTGCATCAACTACTCAATTTTTTTGTCTAGCCTTGTACTTTAAGTCAAAATTATATTCCTGCTGAAAATCAACCCATTATGCATGTCTTCACTTAACCCCTTTTTGTGAGTCAAGGTACTTAATGCTTTATGGTCTAAATACAATGCAAACTCTTGTTGGATAAAATAATGCTTCCAAAAATTCAAGGCCTGCACAATGGCATAAAACTTCAACATCATAAATGGAATATTTCTTTCTAGCATCATTGAGTTTTTCACTGAAGTAAGCAATTGGACAACCTTCTTGACTAAGGATAACTCCAATTCAAACATGTGATGCATCACATTCAACTTCGAAAAGCTTGCTAAAATCTGGTAAAGCTAGCACTGGAGCCTTTATCATCCGCTCTTGGAAGCTTTCTCAGCTGCGGGAGTCCAAGTAAATTCACCTCCCTTCAAGCATTCAGTTATGGGTGCCACAATAGTGCTAAAATTGTTTAGGCTTTCTTTTTTCTTGGGCTGAAAAGTCCTCTTTACTAATTCTTTTTTAATATATTTTAATTTTACTACAAGAAAAAAAATCAATGATTGGAATATGATGATGGGCAGTGGTTCTATGTTATGGACGCCTTCCTCGGGAAGATGTACCATCACCGCCGGCAACAACAGGCACCTGACCCACCGCCAGCAGCAACAATGATTTAGTGATACTCATCCTACCCAGTTCGGCAACAACAGCCTTATCTAGATTAGATTAGCTCATTTGCTTGTTCTTATCTTATTGTTCTTATCTCTTATCTTATCTTATTA